CGTTATTAATGCTTAACAATTAAGGAGAAGAAAGCTTAAATAGCTATGGGCTAAATTATTTTTTAACGTTTCAGCAGTCTATATCAGCTAATTTTAGAGTAATTCAATGTTTCGAGACTCGGCTGCATATATTGGAGGCTTAGCACGTGAATTCCTAATTTTTACACCTCGGGAGTAACTTGTTTGATAAATTTTCTCCTACCAATCTACCAGATTCTAAAGTTTGCCATCTCAAAATTTCCTTCTCTCAGGTACGTTTCTCTGTTCACTCTACTTGTCTCTCCACTGATTGTTTTTTTAGTCGATTTGTTGTTTCTGGGATGGTCATTGAAATCATCATTTTATCACTTCATTCATATGCACTTCAACATGATTTATTTTAGCTTATTCTTTCTTCGATTTCCCTGAACTACATGCTTTCAGGATCTTTCAGTTCTCACAGTGAGTTTCGTGTTGTTCTTTGAGCGCCACAAACTTTTTACTATTCAAACATGTTCATATTTAATTGCAATTGCTGCTACTAGCATTTATTATCCATGTTGTCATAATATATGCCAAGCCTTCAGTAAGGTGCCTATGAATGTAAAATAAAACCGCAAACTTAGATAGTCCTCCAAATAAACTTTCCTTGAGAGGTGAAAGGAGTATTTTAGCCCTTACAGCTGTACTTAAATTTTTTCTCTAAATAACATGAACTACAAGTATATTATTGACCTTTTCTTGGTTGGCATAAACAACAATATAGTGTACGGCCAGATATTTTAATATGTAGTCCCACCCAAATATGTCTAAGATTGTAGCTAAATTATAAAACAATGACTAAAGATGCTCAATATCAATTAGACTAATAGAAGTTTTGAGTGAGCTTTTTGTTGCTGCTACCTATGTTATTAGAGTGTGACTTTTGGTTTTTGTTTCTATTTTGTCGGGTCATTATGAAAATCTTTAATCAACATAGGGATAGGTACTGATACTTTTACTTCTGTAGGATTTTGTTCTACTAATTGGGATAAAAGGTGCTCTCTTCCATTCAAAAGATATTCCAACAAAAAGTGCTAGGCAGGTCAGTGTTTACTTTCTTTTTAGGTACTTCCACCTGCAAAACCAACATGAGTATATTTATGCGGCCTACACACTTATAATTTGTTCTAGTTGTCAATTGTTATAAAGACTGTTGTAACCTCATGCATCTGTGAGTCAAATTTCAAGTTAATGATAAAGTGCAAGAGTTTCTAAATTGTAGAATTAAATATCAAACTGCAGAGAAAATAGACATCAAACATAGAATTTTAAAAGAGGCATAACTCTTGTTGATGACGTTCCACAAAAAAAACTGTGCGATAAAAGATTTTGTTGTTTACCAAAATAGAAAAATCTGCACATGTCGTCAGTTAACCTACTCTGGCCAAAGGGTGATCCACTTTCTCATGAAGTGTTTGTCTTTGTAATTTGAAAAGGAGCTTCCTGTAGTTTCATGATTTTATGATATTTGTTGGAATTGGATAACTGCCTGAATTTTCATTTATAACTAATGCTAGACTAAAGTTTTATGCAAACGTCGAGATTTAAACGGGGCAATGGTGATATCTTAGGGATTAGGTTAATCAGAACTGCAAGGTATTGTTAGATCGAATGTCTTACTTTAGTTGCTCTGTTTTTCCCTTTTCGTCGCCAGAAGAAGACGAGTCGTTTGTTCTTGATTCAGATTTTCTTGTGCCAATGAAAGGTAACTTTCACCTTCTTCTACATTGATATGTTGCGGTAGTTCTGTTGGACTGTAGTTATATTTGGATATGCTTTGTCTTGCTACTAGCATGTTTCTGAATATTTATTTGTGCCTTTTCTTCTCAAAGTTGCTAGCCTACACAATTTTTATATTTACCTTAGTCAAATAGGTATCACTTCAATCATTTGCTACAGTAGGTTCTTTGTGTGTATTAGGCATATTACATATTGGAATGATTATCTAAAATGGAATTACCGGCATTTGAAATTAGTTTTCACTATTGTTACTTTTTCCCCTTCCAAGTTGATTTGTATTAGTTTAGATTTGTTTCCTTTATATGGAATTTTACCGGAGGAAATAATAACATTCATACAACAACTTTATTGCTTTTTCACCACCTCAATGTTTCATTTTTAGGTATAATCTTCTGTCTCATAGTCTTCTTTCTGTATTTTTGTACAATATTTTTGCAACGATCCTGCACAGTGTTTCAGCATACTGTTTCTGCAGAATAATTATGAACAAACTAAAGTATTCTTGTACAAGCTTTTAGAAGAAAAAGGTCTGTTTAATACCTACAAACTTATAATTGTACTAAATTTCAAACTATTTCTGTTATTCTTTTTTTTTGCACAATTACCATCTTGGTTCTTTGATCAATGTTCCGTAATGTTGTTGGACTGCATTCTATACTTTGATTTTAGGTTGTTGGTTCTGCATCCATATGAAGAAGAGACGCACATGGACAAAAGTAATTTGAGAGTGCTGAGTAGAGAAATATACTCTACAAGGTTAGTTAAGCAATATCCGATATGCTTCCATCCAAGCATGCAATTGTCTAAAGGGCGTTAGTTTAGGTTTCAAGCCAGTAGAATTCTGAAATATGTACTATTATGGAACCTGAAATTGTGAAATATATACTACTATGAAATCAAATGAATTATTTTTCTTGTGTAAAGAACATAAAAAATCTATGAGTTATGCAAGAGAGAGAGTTTTTAAACATATTTCTTGATGAGGAGTATGCTAAGTCGGATAGTTTTGATTACATATTCTGTCATACGCTTGCAATTAAAAATATAATCCTCCTAAATGACGAGGCCAACTTAATATGATTGTACAAAGGTACTCATCTGGGGGTGCTGCAAAGTATTCTACATCCACTGTTCGCTGAAATATACCAAAACATTTCTGAATTTCAATTGGCTATTAGCATAAGAAATGTGTTGAATACTTGTTTCTGTATGTCCCTTATCTATTATCTCCTTCTTTAACTGTGTCCTTTTCTCCGTTGATAGTATTGTGTTGATAGGTGAAAATGTGGGTGAAATCTTCTCACTTGAGTTTACACTTGCATATTAGTTCTATCTAACTTTTGATTTCATTTTGTATCTGTAGGAAATTCTAGTAATGCAATTGAAATGGTGCTCCAAAGTAAACTTGATTTATTGAAATTTAGTGATGGAGAGTTTTGGACAATTATGATGTTTATGATACTGTTTAAATACATATAATTTTGTAAAAGGTCACTGCTAGTATGCACCTTGAAGCAATTGGCTTTATTAGCTTATGTAATACATGAAATATTTCTTTTTCGAAGTTGATAGAAAATATGTGCATTTAAAATAATTTTTGTTATTTATTAGTTTATGTAGTGTTTGAGATCTACATAGTTAATATATTTGAAACAAATGTGATTACAGGATATTCAGAATGAATATTTAACTTTCTAACCACACAATTGTGATTTTTATAAAAGTTAAAAATATATGCTTTACAATGTAGACAAAATTGTTACGCTTTAAAAATGCAGCCATAGGATACTAACAAAAGTGTGACATGTATGGTAACAATGGCCACGATTTATAACTATTGCTTTAGGAGCAACACTTAAAAAGGGTGGCCTATAAGGAAACATAAGGCACACTTCAAAAATGTGGCTATAAGACTTGAAAAACGTGGCCATAGGGGAGGTATTAAAAGCGTGACCTTTGCTTCACCAAAAGCGTTGCCTTTGGGCAAAGGTTACGCCTTTTTTGGCCACCCCCTAAAAAACGTTGCCTTAGGTCGAAAAGTGTGGCTTTTGATCAAAGGCCACACTTTTGTATAGTTTAGGCCATACTTTTTGAGTGTGGTTAAAGGCCTAAAATGTTGTAGTGTATACTGGTAAACACAGACATTTGCAGCAAATGTATTGTTAGACAGTAGACTGAAAACACTCTTCTTTTTAATGCCCCTATGCATTACTGTAAATCTGTTATCAAGCTTCGGAATATCATTTTTATTAACTTCTTACAATCTACTTGTGCTGGAGTAATTGTGAAGTTCAAATTACTAGAGTCATGACTTCATCCAACTAGCATATATATCTTTATGAACAAAATCAGTATTCAAGTTCTTTTTTCCAGTTCTTATCAGAGAGAAATTTTAATTTCATCTAAATATCCTCTTCATTAACGAGAGAACTAAGTTTGATTTGGTGATCCTGTTAGAGTATTAGAAGACAATGGGTGATGGTTATATTGTTGGGCCTCTTATTGTAATTAGATTTAGCAGTGGCCCATTCTAGTTTGTATTAGTTGTAATTGGGCCACCGGGTCAAGCCCACTATTTATGTTTATTAGTTTGAGTCTTATTTTGTACAGACTATTTCATTTTTTGACATAATGAGAAAATATTGGATCCTTCTCTCTTCTTCTCGAAGCTTCTCTTCGGTTCAACATCCCATTCCTCAATCTCAGTTTCCTCTCTAGATTTGCAACATCTAACATGGTATCAGAGCGTAGATCCTGCTAGCTCACTTCGTTTGCTTCCGATCGATGTTAACCATCTCAGTTTTCGTCGATTTTTGGATTTTCGTTGCACTTATGCTGGATTAGGGTTTTGTCCGAATTTGCTGGAAGATTTCGGAATATTTTTGCTTATTTCTACCGGATTTTCGTCTTCGATGGAGATATTAACTGGTTTTTGACTGCAGTTGACTGATTTTGTTCGACTATTCGAGCTAGGGTTTCTTCGCCAATTTTGCTGAGCCGCCTGAAGTTTCTCCTTAATTTTCACAAGGCTGTTCTCTTTTCGGTTGTAAATCAGTTTCTTCTTCACTTTCATAATTTTGTTGGCTATTGTGTTTTGTTGTCTTGTATTCTCACAATGATGAATGATAATCCTGATACTACGCCTTCCTCTTCATCTCCTACACCTCATACTGTGTTTCATGAGGATGATTTTACGCATCTTTGTCACCCTCTAATATGTGCATCCATCGTACTAGGAACTTCTTTGGTTTCTAGTCCGTTTGATGGCACCTGCTATGGCAACTGGAGGAGAAATGTTTTAGTTGCTCTCTTCATTCGTAATAAACTTGATTTTATTAGTGGTTCCTCTACAAAGCCACCTTCTGGGTCTCCTCTGGCACGCCAGTGGCAACGCTGCAATGATCTTGTGTCTTCATGGTTGATTAACTCTTTGTCAAAAGAAATATCTCGTAGCGTAGAATATTCTGAGTCTGCCAAGGAAATTTGGTGTGAATTAGAAGAGAGATATGGTAAAGCTGATGGGGCTAGAGTTTTTGAACTTAAGAAAGAATTAGCTCATATTTCTCAAGGGTCTTTAGACATAGCTTCTTATTTCAACAATATCAAACAACTCTGGGATGAGATAGAATCTTATAAGGTCAGAGTTTGTACTTGTGGAGGCAAAGCTGCTGAGGATGAAGAGTAGAAGGTTTATCAGTTCCTTATGGGTCTGAATGATACCTGTATGCAGACTCGCAGCAATATTCTAATGATGAAGCCACTTCCATCAGTTGGAAATGTGTACAGCATTCTATTATCTGATGAAAAACAGAGACAGGTGTCTTCTGCCTCTCAATTCTCATCTCAATCTGCTTCAATTCATGCTGGGGCTTCTAAGCCCTCATTTCCCTATAAGGTTTCTTTTGAGGGGACCAGGAATTCTCTTATCTGCAAGTACTTATCTGCAAGTACTGCAAAAAACCTGGTCACTCAATAGATAAACGCTATAAGCTGCATGGTTATCCTTCTTTTTCAAGTTTAGCAAATGACCTCCTCCTCGCAAATCTGCTGCACATGTTGAGCTTGACTCTCCTGGTGCTAATTTTGTGCCTGGTAGTTCTGCTGGTCCAGCTGAGCATGAAGAGTCTTCTGTGATATCTGGCCTCACCAAGGATCAATACTCCCAACTGATGACCTTATTGCAACAATCCCAAATTTCTGCTTCCCCACACTCTCCATCTCCCTTGGCTTCTGCTAACTTTGCTGGTAAGCTCATGCCTCATGAGGGTGTTTCTTATGGAGCCTGTATGTTATCTAGTGTGAATGGCGTTGTTTGGATAATAGACTCCGGAGCTACTGATCATATGACTTCCATTAAAAGTCTACTTTTTGATATAATTACTCTTCCCATTCCTTATCTTGTGTCTCTTCCAAATTGGTACAAAGTTAAAGTCACCAATGTAGGATCTTTAGCTTTGTTTCCTGATTTAATCCTTCATAATTTCCTTTACATTCCCAGTTTCAAACATAATCTCATATCTGTTCACAAACTTTTAAATCATTGTGATGATGTGGTTCAGTTTACCAAATCTGCTTGCACATTCCAGGGCCCTTCAGTGAAGAAGCCAGTGGTGCTTGGTAGGCTGGACACTGGACTTTACAAGCTATTTCAGCATGTGACTTCACCTATTGATTCTACTCCTGTGAACTCTTGCTCTTCAGTTGTTTCTTCTTTACCTGTTTCCTCTTTACCTATACTCTCTACTACTGATGCTGATGTCAATGACAATTCATCTATAAATACCATGGTTACTTCAAATAAAGTAAACAACTCTGATGTTGTTTGGCATTATAGACTTGGACATATACCTTTTTCAAAGATGAAATTTATCTCTGGTGTTAATTGTGATTTGTCTTCTAAACAGTCCTTCACATGCCCTATTTGTCCATTAGCAAGACAAACTAGACTTCCTTTTCATGATAGTTCGATTCAGTCCACTCATTCTTTTCAGCTTGTTCACATAGATACTTGGGGTCCTCACTCCACTCCTACTCACTCTGGTGCTAAGTATTTCCTTACTATAGTAGATGACTACACTAGGGCTACCTGGACTCACCTATTGGGGGCTAAAAGCAATGCTTTTGATCTATTGAAAGCCTTTATCTTCATGGTTGAAACACAATTTCAAACTAAAGTCCAGACTGTAAAGAGTGACAATGCTTTAGAATTAGCTTCTTCTTCTTCTGGGGCCCTTTTCTTTTCTGAAAAGGGTATTATTCATAACCTCTTGCCCACACACTCCACAATAAAATGGTGTGATAGAGAGAAAACATAGACACTTGCTAGAAACTGCCAGGGCTCTTTTGTTTCAGTCCCTTCTTCCTATAAAATTCTGGGGAGATTGTCTTCTTACTGCCACATATTTGATAAACAGATTCCTTTCCCCCCTTCTCAAAAACAAGAGTCCCTATGAATTACTCTTTGGCAAGGCCCCCACATATTCCCATCTCAGATCTTTTGGTTGCCTGTGCTACTCCATTGTGCCTAAAGTCCATAGAGATAAATTTCATCCTAGATCTATCCCATGTGTCTTTCTGGGCTACCCTTTTGCTAAAAAGGGCTACAAACTTTACAATCTCACCACTAAGTATTATTTGTGGCAGCAGAGACAACACCAAAATTGGTAGCACCATCAAAAATTTCCGCAGAAGTATTACTTGAAATAGTTTCTTAGATTGTAGGGAAATGACACCGAAAAATAACGATAATAATACTGCAATAAAATTATTTGTGAGCGGAAATACACCAACTGGCTTGAGTCGTGCTAGGCACTGTCCTAAGAAACTATTTCAGCAATGTGAAATATTTCCCCAGGATTAAACAAGCCTACCTCTATTTTATTTAGAGGATACAGGAATCAACAAAATTAAATATACCAGCAAGTTGCTAGAAGAAATAAATAAAGTATCTATTGAAGATAGAAAAAAATGGAGACAAAAGAAGAACATTGGAATTGAAGAAAGAGAGCAAATAGTGATTTGAAGCTAATGATTAGCTTTTCTTGGTGTTTGATGATTGAAGAATGATGGCTTAATCATGGCTATTTATAGGCCTAAGAAAAGCTTCTATATTGCCAAATCTTTGATTGCATGAAAGAGGATTGCCATTTGTTTATGGCTTAGCCATTTGACTACATATCTTCATGCAAAGTGCCGCATGGTGGGTATTCATAGCCACTTGGCTTAGTAGAGCCATTTGTCACACAATCTTCTAAATCAATGCCACATGTAAAAAATCTTTTGACACATTACCAAATTACATCTATTATATTTTCGCAAATCATAGTCCTGAACATAAATAAATTTGATACAAAATTATCATTTTTATAATGAACTACATGAGACTCTATGAGATGATTGAGAAGACGAAGCAACATTGTTACAAAATAATAAATAGTGGGCTTTTTTATAAAATACAAAAGTTTGGGACAATTTTTTTAAAAACGTAATAGTTTGAACAAAATAAGTTTTTGATTTTACTATGGTAGTGTTGGGCCCGAGCATAATCATTCTCGGGCCCAACATACAAGGCGTTGGCATAATCATAAATTACTC